ACCCGGAACAAACGCGGCTTGCTGACAGACAGACAAAAAAATATTAAAACATTAAATGCGATTTTCTTTATCAACAACGCAAATAAATCATTTTTCCGAAATCTGGAATTTTTCTTTTGATGTTACAAACAGACATTCCAATTTTATTAGATGTATAGATATGGATAGAATATTTAATCACATGTGAATAATTATTATTTGATATTTGAAATACCCAGCTTAATCGAGAATAGCTTCGAAATTAAACAATAATAAAGCAGTAAGAGATAACGAGTTGAGGATTAAACGTAATTCCGCAGCCGCTCGTTAGAGGATTCCGCGCCTAATCTAAATATAAACTGTGCTAATTATAATTTGACAATTATACTCTGTATTTAGTGTTATATAACTCTTAAATTATACTCAAACAGAGGTATCCAGTACAGGGCTACGATTAGGGGAAAGGGAGAGATGAGACATTTTAGATTACACTTTAATAGAATACAATCTATATTTTTAAATAGTTGAAATAAAAAATGTGGTTATTTAAGGCGAATACTGGCTAGTACAGATAATGATAATGGTAAAAAGAAATAAATAGGGGGACAGATGGTGACCATAAAAAATTAGAAAACGATTCACATAAAGATGTTCCAGGCTAAAATATTCATTGTTAAGGATAATATTCGTTGAAAAATAGTCTCGTAAACCCTAGATTCACTTACGTGTTCAAATGTATTTAAATCCATCCCTTCTAGTGAGCTGTCCATTTAGTTTGACTTATCCACCGGCAAGTAAAACCTTCATATAGTTATTACTAGCTTTTGCCCGCGACTATGTCCGCGTGAAATTAAAATCAGAAGTAATCCTATGTGTTCTTCCACACTATGTTCTACATCTATGCCAAATTTCCAGATACGTTAAGCCGTTTAGACTGCAAAATCGAACAAACGTCCATCTAACTTTTAATGTTAATATTATACCTAGTAAATTGCATTGTTACCTTATTATTTAAACTTTATATTGTAACCTATAACTAACTTTTATTATAAATGTGAACTGTGCACTGCCAATATAAATAAACATTGTATGTTTAATGGCACCAAGCTGTGTTAACACCATTATGTAAAAATGTTTTCGTTGAAATAAATTAAAAAAAAACGTTCGCATTTTTGATATTAATATAATTTTATGGTACAAAACTTCTTAAATATTGGGCCATAAACTATTTTCTAATTTTTTTTTTATTGAGCTTAAAGGCAAAAAAGCGATATGATCACACATTAGGCCCAAAATCGTAGGCGGTTTGCGTAAATTAACTGTAACGCCTCCGGCTCTCTAATTGTTTTAATTAGGGTAATTTGTTTATCAAAGCACACCTTTACAATACAAACCCTTTTGTTTAATTAATCAAATTCTCTTTCGAGCTCCAAGTAAAGTTATCTGGATTTGTTGGTAATTATTAATTAATTTCTGTACGTATCTTTATTTTTTTTTAATCTATAATATTACTAGCTTTCGCCCGCGACTCCGTCTGCGTGGAAAAAAAAAACAAAACTGAGTAGCCTATGTGTTCTTCCAACCTATCCTCTACATCCATACTAAATTTCATCGAAATCCATTCAGTCGTTTAGGGTACAAACTCTAACAAACATCCATCCATCCATCTAAACTTTCGCATTTATGATATTAGTATGATAAAATTCACAGATGAATTCGATTATTTCTATATAAATATCGTGTCAGTACAGCTATGTGCAGTAGACTTTAAATAATTATTCACTAGCCTAAGGGTTAATCTTGACC